AGAGTCTCTGGGCTTCGTTGTGAATGTACGTAGTGAGGTACTAGGTCGACGCGTGGCACGCAGGTGAGCCAACTAATTTTGCATGCCTCCTTCCACAGGTGAGGGAGCACAAGACAAACGGTGCCTTCGGTATGGCACAGATCTACTTGAACCACGAGGAGTTCTCCTGGGCTGAACGGTGGCTAAATATGCGGGCTGCTCTGTCTCTGCCGGAGGGGAGGTTTCTCCACACCACTTCTAACAGCCCGGGCAAGATTCTCCTCAAGTATCTCCGGGTGGTGTGGGAGGAGATGGGGCTTCCAGGATTACCTTCCTTCACAGACATCAGAACGTCTGTGGCTACGCATGTACGGTGCCTGCTGCTAATGTACCCTCACGTTTCAGTATAGTGAACATGATGGTCTTTTGTAACGACATTTATTTATTTTCGCTTTTCTTTTTTTCCCCAGGTAAAGAACTTTCACAGCGCTGAGGTTCGCCGAAGATTGGCCAACTTCATGTGTCATGACACCTCGACCGCTGACAGATTCTACGCAATGCATCTCACCGCTGAGCAAGCGAGAAAGATCAGAGTGCTTTTCGAGCAGTCGACATCCAACGCAGAGGCCCAGGCAGGAGAGCCGTGATTCAGAGACGGGCTAGATGGGCGTCAGTGAGGCCCAATGTCGCTCGACCATCATGAAAACATGTATTTTTTTTGTTTAAAATAAAAGTTCTGCTGCATGATCTGTGCCCAGTCTCAGCACTTAGTCAGAGAATCAGCACATGTGATGAAAACTGGGACATATCCAATGTAAACACATTAGCAGTTCATTTGTGTGGCCGCTGGCTGCACGTTCACACTGGGACACTGGCCACACCGACAACTTAACGGGCCACTGGCCACACAAAGTGCCCAGGGCAGGAGCTCTCGGGCTGGGTACGGTCCCTCCAGGCTCCCCGGGGCTGCTGCATGATCTGTGGCCAGTCTCAGCACTTAGTCAGAGAATCAGCACATGTGATGAAAACTGGGACATATCCAATGTAAACACATTAGCAGTTCATTTGTGTGGCCGCTGGCTGCACGTTCACACAGGGACACTGGCCACACATACAAATTAACAGGCCACTGGCCACACAAAGTGCCCAGTCTCAGGACTTAGTCAGAGAATCAGCACATGTGATGAAAACTGGGACATATCCAATGTAAAGACATTAGCCGTTCATTTGTGTGGCCGCTGGCTGCACGTTCACACTGGGACACTGGCCACACCGACAAATTTACAGGCCACTGGCCACACAACGTGCATTCCCGAGGTGGGGTTAGGGTTAGGGGATGTTGGGCCATTGTCTCACAAATTCTACTTTAGCGTTGTGCAAACTGCATGTTTGTGGCAAAATGTTTGGGGTGTGGCCCGATAAGGACAAAGCCTTGCACGTGCTTCCTGATTAGGCCTCACATGCGGCCTTGTCTCACACAGCTGCTTCCTGATTAGGCCTCACATGTGCTCAGGGGTGCGGCCTTGTCTCACACAGCTGCTCAGGGGTGCGGCCTTGTCTCACACAGCTGTTAGCAATTTAATTAGTGACTGTATAAGAGGCAGAGCTGGCAGGATTTGACACTCAGTCAGTGGCCTGCACGAGAAGGAGACACACCAGACGACTCAGCAGAGGTAAGATCCACCCACCCACCCATCCATCCATCCATCCATCCATCCATCCATCCACCCACCCACCCATCCATCCACCCATCCATCCATCCATCCATCCACCCACCCACCCATCCATCCATCCATCCATCCATCCATCCATCCATCCATCCACCCATCCATCCATCCATCCATCCATCCATCCACCGACCCACCCATCCATCCACCCATCCATCCACCCATCCATCCATCCATCCATCCACCCACCCACCCATCCATCCACCCATCCATCCATCCATCCATCCATCCTGACTGTGTTTTCTTCTTTTTCAGAAGCTTAGAGTTATGCCGCCCCGTCGTGGATCTGCCACGTGTCCAATTTGTTTGAAGACTTATTATGCCATGTCAAACCATCTCCAGCGAACGCACTCGGTCAAGAATGTGGAAGAGAGAAAACTGTTGTTGAACTTGGCGTCTGGACGAGTAAATGTGAGGAACGGCAAATGCCCAGTTGAAGCATGCTCCTACAGTTCTGGCCGCCTGGATAAACACCTGTTGAAGGCACACCCAGCGTTAAGTACTGCCGTGAAAGGTAAAATGCTTGACGCTGCGAGGAGGGCCAAGACTATTGAGCTTCTCCAAGCTCTCGCGGACACGGAGCCTTCTCCTCCCCTGACCTCCAGCCTCTCCGTGGAGGGCTTGGACGCCGACTGTGAAAATGAAGTGTCGGGAGCCACCTCCTTCTCGCCGTCCCCCCGTTCAGACGAGGATGTGCCTGGCCCGTCGTCTGCGTGTGCCGTCCCTGACTCGACCGGGGCATCTGCTTGTGAGGAGCAGGTGCCAGAAGCTCGTTTTCCTGCATCTATCGGTAA